AGGCTTGGCATAGGTATTGGCTAGAACTTTCCAAACATCATGGGAGGTTTGAGATTGAGTGATAAGGGGAATAAGAGAGGGTGAGAGAGTTCCAACCAAGGCTCCAAAGAGAAGTTTATCTTACGAAGCCAAGTTTGGTATTCGGGATTTGGTTTTGTTTCTTTGTTTGTAGTGATCCTAGCAATGGGAGCAGGACAAGATCCATCAACAAATTGTTTAGGTCATAGCCAATGAGAATGGGTTCCATCTGAAGTTTCCAAGAGTGTTAATTGGTAGAGGTGAGTTTGATGGAGTTATGGATGGCGATCATGGTTAAAGGTTTTGTGGGTTCTTGGGCATTGGGAATGTTGATTTGGTTATTTTCTATGGCCATGGTTGATGTTTGGAAAAAAAAATGTTGGTAGACAGAGGACTTGGTGTGGCTATGCTAGATGTCTACCGTATTGAGTTGGGAGGAAGATTTTCAAGAAATAAATGGCTCTAATACCATAAAGTAATTTAGAGAAAAAATAATTGATGAATTATGGCATAACTACAAATCAATAAAAGATGATTACACAATTTACAAATATGAAAACCCTTGATTTCATCAATCCCTTGATATTGTCAATTAGATCCCTTAATATCCTCATTATCTTTATTACAGACAATATTAAATAACCTCTCGTTACTCCATTCTCAGCTCACAAGTCCTAAAGCATACGATTCTCCCATTTAATTTCAATCCCTCTAACTCCATTGCACGAATTGGCTTCTCCAATTTGAGCTACAAATCCATTATTTTTATACATCTTAATTAATATCAGATGATTTTAAGATCATGATCTAGTAATTAAGAAAAACTCATATAAAAAAAAGACAAATAAATTAATAACAAAAACCTACAGGCAGATTTTATCAAACAAAATTATGCAACTGCAGAATATAGCTTCATATGCAATAAGAAAATATAAAATATTTTAAACTGAAAATTCTAATTATTAGAAGGGCTTACTATTCAGGATTCATGACAGCTATAAAATTCGAGATTGATTTGAATAATAACTTGTCTGTGCCCTTTTAATTTCAAAAATTGTATTATGGAATAGTGATTGATGTTGAAATGTGTGGTTAAAAAAGGAAAAGTTTTTAATTTATGTGTAATATTATTTTAATGAAAAATATGTTATTGAAACTGAGTACTGTAGAAAAAATAATGTGGTAGAATGGTTGATAAATAAAGGCTAAATGAAGACACAATGAAACACCAAACAAAGGAAGATTTTAAATTTTTTGGCGGAGTTTTTAATTGAAGTTCTTAAAGATGCTTAAAATGTTTGAAGTAAAGACGTGGGGATCATGACGTGGCTTGTTGACATCAATCTTATAACCCACAATTTTTAGAGGGTGTTTGACACCTATTTTTTATGGAAAAATGAATTTTAGAATAGTAGATTAATGAAAAATGTGTAAATGAAAAATAAGGAAAAGTTTTTTATTTATTTGTAAAATTAATTTAATGAAAAATGTGTGATTAAAAAGAATAGAGAAAAAAATGCATTTTGATAAAAATGGAAATTAAACAGGCCTTTAAAAACTCTCTTTTTTCCTAACTTATTTTCATTATACATTTTTTAATTAAAAAAAATAATTTTACAGAGTCCTTGTTAGAGCCCCATTCTTTTCATAAAAATTAATTTTTGAATAGTGTATTGATGAGAATTGTGTAGTTAAAAAGTAAAGAAAAATTTTGAATTTGTATGTAATATTATTTTATTGAAGAACTGTGATTAAAATAATGTCAAAACACTGTTTAATAATGTATTTTTTTCAAAAAATAAGACTCAAACAGGGGATTGATGACTGGCTATTATATAAGTGTTGACCTAAGCCCCTGTGCTGGGGCTCGGCTCCCGAACCGTACGTGAGCTGCCTCGTACGCAACTTCCATGGATCGATCAGAGTGAGGGAGCTCCTCCCTACGTGACCGATCGTTCCAATCATGAGACTTTTCGTGCTACCCATTTGTAAAATTGACTTGCCCTCTTTTACTTATTTACTTAAGGAAGATCTTTATATCTAAAATTGTTTGATCTCGCTGGCAAAACTCCATCGCTAAAGCCCTCGAACCTACTTACCTTGCTTGTAGACCAGCAGCGGAGCTAACTCTGCTACCAAGACGATTTCTTTATGCCCATCAAAATCGGTGAAGTTTACTCTTCCTTTTCGAAATCCGAAGAAGTGCCCGTGGTCCTTCTGTAAATATAAAGTCAATCCCTTATGGGCCCAATCATTTGAACCATGACTCACGTACAATTTTAATGTAGGTCATACCCACCTACCTGCCCACTCCCTGTACTCTGGGCATTATTCCAATCATGTATTTAAGCATTATTGATGTTTAGATGGTTGACCATCTACGTAAAGAGCATCACATATTTTCCATTCCTGCTATTACATATTTGCCCTTCTCCATGGTATGTTCTACTTTCGGAGTTTAAGATTTAGTCCATGTACATTTAAAATTAATTATTGATTTTAACTTGAAATTAATCTATATTGAACTGGAGATTAATGTAAGGATGACAACGAGGTGAAGTGTGATGGGCAAGGCGAGGTAGGGGCAGTAAAAAAAAATTACTTATTTATTCAACATCTTAATACTTTTTAAATTGTAAAATATAAAATATAGAAAATAAGTTGGGATGGGACTATGTTCCTCGTCTCCACCTCAATTACTAAAATGGTTGCTACTCCTTCCTTCATTCAAAATGGGATAGTGCCTGACGAGGCTGGATCGTGGTTGAGTAATAAATTTGTCATCTTTAAAGATTTGTTGTTGGGTAATTATATTACCACTATAAAATTTAATTTATACACTACATTATAATCATACCACAGTAAAAATATATTTTTAATAAATACAACACAACACAATTACAATTATACTTCTAATTCAATAAAAAAAATTTGAATAAAAAAAAGAATATTATATTGTGGTGTACTTATCACCAATATTAATCCTTATCTTCTCAACTTTCCCCTCATTATTTCATAGCCATTGGAAACGGAAGATCGAGGAAGAGCACCACGCCATATTCATATGGGCAAAATTCAATGAGAGGATTTTGCATATGAAAGTGAGGCTATGTTTTTATAAATAACTCTAGAACCAATTCCCCTCGAATGCGATTAGAATTCTAATAGTAAATATACTTGAGAACTAGATATGTAGACAACCATGACCATGAGATAAACAAGCACGGATAGACCATCAACAATACCATGAAGTTTTACGATTTCAATAGTTTGCATATCTAACCCAGTTTAAAGAACCACCTCAAATTTTTCTACATTGAGGTACCTTAGTTATTCACAAAAGATAATTGCATGCCGGTAATTTATAAACCTACGTAATGACTAGTACAGCACATATGAATAGCTCTGGGGTATGCTTTCACGTAATGAATGCACACAAATTCATGGACACTATGATGAGTACATACACATAAATTCATAAACTCATTTAAAAATTAAAAATCATCGTCTTCCATGCTTTCTAGTAAATGTGAAAAGAATCAAATTCATAAACGTGAAAAGAATAGCTCTGGGGTATGCTTTCACGTAATGAATGCACGCAAATTCATGGACACAATGATGAGTACATACACACAAATTCATAAACTCATTTAAAAATTAAAAATCATCGTCTTACATGATTTCTGGTAAACGTGAAAAGAATCGTACTTAAATTACGCAAATTCATAATAAATTGATATGAAGCATGCTAAATAATAAATTGAAAATAATCGTACTAAATTCATAGTAAATTGAAGATAATAGACTCGAAAGCTTTTGATTGTTTCAAATTCATAATAAATCTGTTCAAGTTAACAAAAAATTAGATTCTTAATTTTCAATCTTGACAAATAAACTAAAAAAAAAATTCATTAGCAAATCGTGGTCAAATAGAGTATAAATTCATTTATCGTGAGGAAAAAAAATTATCTAGCCACCGTGGAAGAAAAGAAAAGCTGCCAAAAAAGTTATGAAAAATGAGACGTTGAGGAAAAAGAAATAAAGAAATTAGGTTTTATATTTATTGTGTAACAATAATTTATTTAATTAAAAAGTATATTAAATCCCTAATTATGTGATTTTACTTAAGGATATTTAAGTAAATAAGAAAATTGTAATGTACTTAATAAAATTTTTGGGGCGTATATAATTTTTCTTTGTTGTTCACCTTGTTGCAAGTTCATCACTTAATCCGAACATTTTCCTAGATTTAGGTTACGAATCTAGATGTAAAAAAACGTTTTTCTTATTTTTTGATATTATTATTAATTTTTAATCATTTTAATGAAATAAGATATATATCAAACATCTAAAATTATAAAATACCATGTCCTTGTTTGAGCCACATTATATTCCTAAGAATGAATTTTTGAATAATGTATTGATGAAAAATGTGTGGTTAAAAAATAACTAAAATATTTTGGATTTACATGTAAAATTATTTTATTAAAAAATGTGTGGTTGAAATGATGTTAAATTATTGTTTAAAAATGTATTTTTTTGAAAAAATGTGGTTCGAACATAGCCTATATTTACTTAATAATTTCTACAACTAGTTAGTTATACAATTGTCACAATGTAAAAACTAATTACATTTCATAGTTTCAATTTTCAAGTAGATAAGTTCCACTTAATTTTTTAATGTGTTTTGATTTTATTTTTGTAGAGATAAAATCATTTTAAATCCTAAAAGTAAAGTGAAATAAAAGACTTATAAAAAAAATAAAACGTCTCTAAGTGCTCATTGTCAAGACATTATGTTTCATGCGAGCCTCGCGTCTAAGTAGCATTTGGATGCAGTTTAGACGTCTAAGTAGCATTTGGATGCAGTTTAGACGTGTCTTTTAGAACATTGCTAAAAATTGAAAATAACAAATCAAACGTCCATTTATTTTTTAAAGATTAACTTTTGTAATCAAGAAAAAAAAAAAGAATGAAAAGAAAAAAGTGAATTTCATATTTTTGAACTCAGTCAAACATGCCCTAGATAATCCTATCTCCCAAACGGATAAGGCCCTCCTCCGATTCGTAAATTCCACCCTCACTCTCACAATTCTCAGTCATGAGCTCCGCTGTTCTTCCACAGGTAATGTACCTGCCAATTTCTACGGATGATGCTGATTTTTTTTCTTTCAAATTTATTTACAGTTTCTTTTAGGATTTGTGCAGGCTTTGTTAAGTATACCCAAAACTCCCACGCAATGCACACTGCCACAGACAAAGCTGGCTTTTTCAGCGGTGGTGGCTCCGCGCCTCTCATCCTTAGCTTTCTTTTCCCGATGTTCTCCGAGTTGTGTTAGCTCGGGCCCTCCAAAATGGGGGAAAAATAGGTCTGTAGTTGTGTGGGCTGAAGCGAATGCAGAGGCAGAGGCAGAGGCCGAAGTGGAAGAAAGCACTGAGAATGATGAAGCTGTTGAGTCTGAAGAAGCTGAGATTGAGTCCGAGGAGATTGAGTCCGAGGAGAAGACACCCAGACCGCCAAGAATTAAGCTTGGGGATATTATGGGGGTATTCGCTTGAATCTTCAATTAATTTTTTTTCCGACGAGCAAAAGGTGTATATTTGGCTGATGTATCGTTAATCATATTTACTATTCGAGTTTTAAAATTGGCACAAATCAATGGTTCAATGACTAGTGTTGTGACATTAACTTTTGCATACAGAAAAACAGAATATGGAACTATATCTAGAGCAAACTGGCTTTGCCCAATGGCTTAGGGCTTTATTGGACATTAATTTCCCTTTCGTGGTCAAATCAGTATCTTTCTACAGTCAGTGAGAAATGACATATTGATTGTGGCAACATTACCTTCAGGCATGTGGTGGCGAGAATTCTGGGACTAGTATGACAAAGAAGAGGATGAATTTACATAAAAAACTTATGAATAAATACGTATGCATGCAATTTAACGGTCTTGAGAGAATAGTGATGAGTGAGACCTTCAGGAGATTAGGAAAAGCAGTAACAATAATGTTAATTATCCAGTAAAGGATATTTAGAACAAAATACACCTGGGAATATATGGGTGGAATTCCCATTGAATATCCCATGTCTGGTATGGCATAGAGTAAGGAATGGAACCAAGGTTCCTAATTTGAATCCATTTATGGAACAGAAACAGTGAAAATGGTGTAAAATATCCTTGCACTTAAGCCACTGTTTGTCTACTATTAAAGTAGGAAAACGAGTTTTGAAATAGTGATATGTTGGAGAAGGGGTGATTAAAAAGTAGAAAAAAGTTTGAGTTTATGTACAAAATATTATATTGTGAGAATGTGTGTGGTGGGGGGGGGGGGGGGGGGGGTGTAAAAAAGAAAGAAGAAAGGGGGGGGGGGGGGGGGGGGGGGGGGGGGGGGGGTGAAAATGAGTTTGAGAAAAAAAATTGATATAATGGTAGACAAACAGGGGGTCATTCTGATTTTTGTTCTTTTCTAAAGTCCGGAGTGAGTAATCTCTATCAAAATTAGATTAGTTAATGCTTACTGGATGGAGAAATCTTCCAATTAGTCTGAGTGATTACTTTAATTCTTAAAAGTAGTTCAACTTCTGGTCCAATTTAATCTATTCAAGACTAGATTGTGCTAAAGTATAACTATCTTATGGTGAAGTATAATTATCCAAGCGTTAAAGAAGGTTAGTAATCAGGGATATTGGCTAAATTGTCTTTAGATTGTCAATGTCTGTGCACTTCATAATATTCCATATTGGCTGCTTGTATTCTCTAGTAGGCCATTATCTTGGAAATAATGAGCCAAGCTAGTTTTTGCAGTGAATCCTCCTCTTAAAGTTTGATTTGTTCATGTACTATTTCCTTTTGCTATGTGCGTGCGTAATCTGCCTAAGAATGTATTTTTTGGTTTTTGTGGTGATACTATGGTGCTTTGCAATTGATATGGTAGTGGGCCTGGCTAAGAGGTCTTTTTGGGTGGTGGTTGCGCAGCTTGGGAGTGGGGGGGTTGGAGACTGGTCTCATACTGGTATTGGTGGAGAGATTTCTAAGGGGCTGAAGATGGTATTTGCTGGTGCAGTGGCTCCAAATGGCAGAGGTGCCACTGCCGTTAAACATACAGAATGTACTGTTTGGAATGTTACAGCATTCTGACACTGAGCTCATTCTCTTCTGCCCCATTTTTCACAATTTACTTTTGAGTTCTTAGTTTTTGAAATGAATTAGTTGAATTAGTAGGTTTTTGTAAGAATTTGAATGCATTTTTCTATTTTGTGTATGATTAGATATTGAATAAGAAAGCAATTGAAGCATCAGACAAGGAAAGGCCTACTCCTGATCTTCGGACGGGGGATATTGTGGAGATCAAACTGGTAACTTGTTCTCACACATATATATATATATATATATATATTTTTTTTTTTTTCATTTTAAATATAATTTTGCACTTTCAATTTGGATATGTACACACAAGTAACATGTTTTATGTTTGGGTACCATTTAAATGGAAGTCTTTTCATTTGTCTTTCAGGAAGTTCCTGAAAATAGGCGTAGGTTATCCGTGTATAAAGGAATAGTTATATCAAAGCAAAATGCTGGCATCCACACAACAATACGGATTCGACGGATTATTGCAGGTGTTGGAGTTGAGATTGTGTTCCCTGTGTAAGTATTTAACTTTCATTTTGTTGCTTTTGTGTGTATAAACATGTCATCATTTTTTTTTTCGCCTTGTCACCAAGCATCTTTAACTTAATTAAATCTATGCCTTTGGTCACTCTGAATTTCAACAACTCAAATGCGAAGTGCATTAAGAATAATTAATAACGCACTGCAAGAAGATTTTCGCATACAAACTTTTGACTGATAATAGGGTGTGTTGACTTTTTGTTGATCCTTTGGATTGTGATTTATGGAGCTCTATCAAAAGCATTGTATTGATTTCCACGGAATACGCAATTGTCTAATCACACAGCTACACTCTACATTTGAATGATAATCATTTAAGGGAGGGCAAAATCATAGCGAGGGCAGGGGAACCTTTAAATCTGCCCAAGTCATACTCATCTACACCACTGGAAATATACAATGGTTGTTATTATAAATTGATTTCTCATTTAAAACCTGTGTGACGACCATTATTTGGGCAAAAACAATGTTTTGAATAGTGAGTTTTTTTTGGAGAATGTGTGGTTAAAAAATAAGAAAAAGTTTTGGGTTTACGTGTAAAATATTTTATTGTATGAATGTGTAGTTGAAAATGAGTATGTAGAAAAGAAGTTTTCAAATAATGGTTGTCAAACAGGAGCTTAATGTGATTGATAAAAGAAGTCTATCATTGCTCTCTCTCTCTCTCACAGCTATTCCATTTTGGTTCTCTCTTCTTCATCATAATCGCTACCCAATCTTTGTAATATCAGTGCATAACAAATCATCACTTATTGATCTCCTAATTTGTGCTTCTACATCACTGGTCAGTTAACACCATCCAGTTCATTCAAAACTGTGGAAATATAGGGGAAATAGCCCTCTGACAGAATATACCGACGCACTCTACAATGACTTGCTGAAGAAAGTAAAAGGAAAGGGCACTTCATTGTGGGGTAAATACACATAGTATAGTGTTTTCAATCATCCTCTCTAAAATCATTCATCTTCAGTTGGACATACATGGTTCTACACCTCGAAGCATTGACCGCTCTCCCACACTTGCAATTTCAATCCTTTTTCTAGTTATGAACCTAATGCGATGCCAATCCTCCTGCACATGGGATGTGCATAAGTTGTATGCTTTCTCACATGATTTTTTTGTGTTATTAATCAGTTTTGTCAAAGCCGATAATTTCCTCAATCTGTTAAGTTACTTTGCGTGGTGGCATCAATCCTTAGAGATTCATACAGGGTTTTAAGCATATTTTCTGTTAATTTGTTGTTATTTTAAGTGAGCACATGAGTTTATATTGATGTTTGCTTGTGATACAATTATTCTATATTTCATGGCTTACCACGTTTGCACATGGGTTGTCATTTTATTCTGATTTGATTTTCATTTTGGTACAACTGCTGCTTGTTTTCGATTTAAAATAGCATTTTGTACGTGGTTTTGAAATGCAGATAGTCATTGAGAACAGTTTGTTGGCTCCAATGGTGTTTCTATTCTCTATCATGTTCTTTCTTGTTTTATGCGTTGTGCTTCTTTTTCTAAATCGAAATTGCAAGGCTTTATCTTCGATTCTTCATAAATTCGTTCATGTTGTACAGATATTCACCAAACATCAAAGAGATTAAAGTTATCAAACACCGGAAAGTCAGGAGAGCAAGACTGTACTATTTGCGAGACAAGCTTCCCAGGCTCTCCACTTTCAAATGATGGACCACTCTTTGTAGAAATCTTAGATTTGTATTTTCTGGGAATTCTACTTTATTATAAAGTTAGAACTATATGCGCCACTATTTTTGTGATTGGTTAGATTTGATAGTATAAATCATTCCTTGCCAAAGCTTTTCTAATGTTAAAAAAAAAAGGGTTTATTGTTTCTGCTAACTATTTTTATGTTCATTACGTGATTTCAGTTAAGTGTTCTTAAATATGCATGATTATATCTTGTTCTACTGTTGTCAAATTTTACATTCAACTATTGTTCATATTAAGTGGACTGTACTTTTTTTTTGTCCCCGGAAATTTTTGCTTCTAAATTCACACTAAGGGTATGTTTGATTGCGAAAATGGAATTTGGGTGGAAAGAAAATGAATTTTAGGGGATAGAATTACTTAGAAATTGTTTTCTTGGGAATTATAAATTATTGTTTGATTTGTATAATTTTTCGCGTGAAAAATGTTGAAGTAAAAGTTTTTTTTTTGTGTTCGTTTGGCTTTGTTTTACATGAAAATTGTCAATTTAAGGGATATTCACTTCTACTATTGTTCCTAGAATTTGTTTCCATTGCCAACAAAAAAAAAGGGAAAAAAAAGATCAAAAAATCATCTATATTTTGGTGTTCGTTTTGTTTTGTTTTACATGAAAATTGTCAATTTTAAAGATATCATCTTTTACAATTGTTCTTAGAATTTGTTCTCATTGTCAACAATAAAAAAAAAAAAGAAAAAAAAGGTGAAATATCAAAAATCACCTACCCTTAGGAAAATAAAAGGTGGAAAATTACGCTTTAAGGTGTTGTACCTAGAAATTCATGGAAAATCAATTTTCTGAAAAATTTTGTCAATCAAACAGGTCAAAAGTGGAAGTTAAAATTCGAATTCCAAGTTTCAAGGAAAATTTCGTGCAATCAAACGGGCCTAAAATTATTTGGCCATTTGACCCAAACCTCGAAAATATAACTCTCCAATCACCCAATAATCTTTTTTTTTTTTTTTCCCTTTTTAATTTTGTGTCATCTAGTGATTTATTTGGTTTACAACTAACATTTAAGTTTAGAGGTACCGAAGAAAGGTAAGAAGATTCAAGTAGTGGATGTATTTTGACATATAAAACTGTCACTTATGCCGATATATTCCATTGCCACCTTTATTTTTATTGGTGGTTATCTCTACCGATGAAAATTATCTATCGATTAATAATTCAAGAATTTCTTCTCTGGTGCTGTCTTCTCACTAAGCATTCTCCTTTCCTTCTCCTCATATCAAAGCCTTTTTCTTTCTTTCTTTTCATTTTTGTTGAATGGAATCAGTTTCGAATTTTGGTTATGGTATGGACAAAGCCTTGAAGAGCCATGACCAAGATCTTCAAGGACATGTTACATAAGACGAAAACGCCGTCAAGAGTTGAAACCCACCTCTGAGCGGTCTTTCAAAGGTTATGTTAGCACAACATGAAGATGAATCCATTAAAATCTTTCTTTGGGCTATCTTCAGCCAAGTTTCTTGAATTCATTGTGCAGAAAGACACAAGTCGATCTTGCACTAAACCCATCCTCGAGATGAAGCCACCTCAGAGAGAAAGGACTTCAAGGATATTAGCCTACCTATAGAAGTTTCATTTCCCATTTCATGGAAAATCCTTTTCACTCTGTCTAGCCTTATTCCTCTCTAGGAAGATTTTAGTCATAGGATATATAGGAGCTGGACAATCCTATGTGATCAAATACCTAATTACAAACTCATATGCTCATTTCATTACGATATTTCTGAACAAGTGCGTGGATAACAAATATAAAGGTTTTCTTATTGATTACAGTGACGATATTGATGCTAATGAAGATATCAATCATGAGCTTCATATGGAGCTGGAATTGCTAACTATAATTGAAAAACCTTACGTTCGACCCAACTAACACCTAGAGGGGGGGTGAATAGGTGTTCATGCGGAATTAAAAAACTTATCAATTAATTCGTGCAACAAGTCACAAGAATTAAAGTTTGTCCAGATTCATTCACATGTCTTAATTACCTATGTTGAATTACCGGTAACAATAAATAAATTAAAGCAATAAAAGAACACAACGAATGTTGACGGAGAAACCCCAACGGGGTAAAACCCCCGGGCAAAAGCCAGTAGAGATCCACTATTTGTAGAAGGTAACTTACAGTACGCCAGAACAATTGATCCCCTCAATTTTCTAACCTCCTTACTGTTTGAGAACAAGACTCTCCTGGATCTAGCAGATCT